TAATAATCACTTGAGAATATGTCATGCTTTTTCTTCTTATCTGATGTAAATACTGTAGTTGACCTTCATTAGATTTCACCAATTAGCAACATAATTCCTAGAAGTGAGTACAAAGGCTCTTCAAACTTTTTAATGAGTTCCTCACAGTTTCCTGGAAATTGTTACAATTGCTTTTTATTGGTGTCAATTAAGGAGATGTGCAATGTCCCAATCAATGTCATACAATTTGCATTGTTAAAAAGGTCTCACATTTTCATAGTGCTTTTTGACAATGGGTTCATAGAAACCAGTGGCCTCCTTGAACTTTGTTTCCTGCATGAAGAGCACATGAGCAACATTGAGCTTCCAAATGTCAACATCATTGCAGAACTCCACAGATTTTCGAAAAATCTTTTCAACTTGGCCATAATTCTCCCGATCCCAGTAAACCTTAGCTTGTGACATCAACACTGGAATGTACCTGAAATATAAAAATGGAACAGATGAAGGAGTAAATCATCAATTTTGATGGAGAATTCTGTATCCTCCCAAGAATGAATTATTGTAGTTGGGAGTTAAAAGCAACATCAGCTGAGCTATTGGCTGGGGAAACTAATTTTGAAAATTTGCCTTTGTATTGCCTTGAACATTTTTTCATCACAATTTGGATTTTTCATTTTTTGGAACATTTTGAGTTATAATTGTTGACTGCAAAACTTGAAATCCTTGCATTTGTTTTAAAGCAGCTTTTTGAGCTGCTTTAATACACTTTCATTTCTAGCATCATGAAACATGTTGGCTCAAGAAGCTGAATCAACAAAATTTGGGATAATGTTGTACCATCTTTATTCCCTTCTTCTTGGATTAAATACTGTATTGAAAATTTGTATTTTTTTAAACACTGGTTTGACAGCTTTGATACAAGTCTGCACAATTCTTTGAATGAGGAATCTCAACCAAATTACATGATTTTCCCTTTTTCCATTCAAATAATTCCCCTTTGAGGAGTTGTATCAAGATTTCAAGAAAAATAAGAGGAGAGGCTCTTTAAACCTCTTACCTTCCCTCACTGTTATTTTGAAATGTTTTAAATTGTTTCATCAGTCTTGAATAAAAATATGTTCAATTTGGAAGCTAACCAGTCAACTTACTTCTTCAATATTCCATTAATATGTTCATTCTGGGATATGATGTTGAAATCTTTTTATTTTGGGAGGATGATGAGTGGGACCATACTTTGAAGCATGTTTGTCATTGATACAGCTTCCATCTTTGCTATAGGTACCAGCCAGTCGCATGTGGGGTGTAAAATTTTGGACTGCTGTGCCTGCTTTTGTCTGGAAATTTCTGCATGAAGACTTTTCTCAAAAAATGTGTATGTGCCAGTGGTACCTTGCAATTTGATCTACCACACTTTTATGGTATAATTTTCAGGGAGTTCAACTTGCAAATTGACCCTTGCCTCACAACATGACCTGCTTTGATCATTTATGTGCTTAAAATATTGATTTTTTATGGAAGTGTCTTGCACTTTGACCAATTTTCAATTTGACCCTAGTTTGGCAATGGATTATGGTCAAATTACGAAATACCACCTGTACTGGAGTAGGGAACTTTGTTATCTATGGGCTTTCTGCCTGAATTTAAGGAAAAATTCTTGGACTGAAAGATTTTTGGCAGTGGTATTTCTTGTAGCAAGATTTAAATGTATATGCTTTATACATTCACTGAACAGCCTGCATCTCAGATTTCTAAGAGGAGCAAATAATTTGTGAAACTGGATTGGAACTGGAAATGTAGTATAGAGTTGGTCGCAGAAATGGAAATAATTCCAAAGGCTGCAATACCACACACCTTTGAGTAAGACTTGAATAAGAAAGATTTGTTCAAGTAAAGTATAAGACATACCCTCATTTTTGACTAATTGAATATGTGAGTCAATGAAAAAATTTTGCATTACAGAAATCAACTGCGCATATAAAATGGAATTCAGGATAAGCAGAATAACCCAAATTCACTTACTTTGCACTTTTGTCACATTTTAATCTGCTACATTGTAGCTCCTGCAACCAGTGCAAAGATGTTTTTCTCTGGGATAGTTATACTGGAGAGTCAAAAATTTGATGCGACTCACCTAATATGAGTTATGAGTCTATGACACACACTGAAATGTCTTGGCATTTAAAATTTTTACCTGCCATCAACCTTTTCAGGCCAGTTCACCATTTTCAAGACACTGCAATGTCTTCATGACTGTAAGGTTTTACAAACTGGAGAAGATTTTTATCAAGCCTTACACCTAGATTTATAATTGTTTTTAGCAGAGTTTCAGAGTGTCAAGAATTTCAATTAGTTGAATCAAACATAGCAATTGGCGGTGCACAAACTGACTGGGGATTTCTCCCCACTAGCGCAGACCTTTCTTTGTCCCACAAACAAGATTTAAAATACACAAGATTTTATAAAATACAAGAACACACACACACACACACATGTCAATGTAAAGACGGGTAAGTATTCACAAGGGCAATTTTGAGAGATGAGATTGAATTCAAGTATTTCCAGAGGTGGACTTGCTCAAATCTCTTTCCCAATTTCCCAAAAAGGTGTCACAAAAGTTCCCGAAACGTTTTGCAAAGTTTCTCAAAAAAAACAAAAAAGAATGAGTACGCCATTTTCCCGAGTTGTATTTCTGCGTCAAGTTTCCCAAATTTTGACAGAGTCTAAACAATGTTTCCCAAGAATTTGTTTGCATAAAATTTAAACAAGTTGACTCCTCAAGAGTGACTGTGTGTATTGCCCAGTTTTTGGGGCTTATAGACAAATTTTTGCACCAGTTTTTGGCAAGGCTTTCTCTGTTACAAATTTTGACAACACCAGGTGGTGGCATCTGCTATTTTGCAGAAACTGTTTTACAAGTACATTTCATGCTTTCCCGGGAACCAGGTGTTTGTTTTATTAGTCAACAAACTTTTCTAAATTGTCAGTTCAGTAAAATGAGCTTGTTCAAGCAATTTGGTTTGGTTTACCGACAGTTCGTTACGGACAGTTCGTTACTGCGACATTTCGTTACAGCGACGTTTCGTAACAGCGACTTTTTGTTACAGGACAATTCGTTACAAGACATTTCGTTACAGGGACATTTGGCTACATTGACTTTTTGTTACGGCGACATTTTGTTACCATTTTATCTTTCGTTACTTGTAACGAAAAAATTAATATATTATGATCCAGTGCTTGATTTCATGTCTTTCATAGGAATATTCATGTTCATTAATAGAAATGGGAAAACATTTATTCATGGGAATAATGCAGTATAATTGCAATGAAATAAATACTGAAGAGGGGGTTTTAAGAATAGGGATTGTGAGGGAACTATTGAGAATAGAGCATAGCATTGGGCAGGGATGATTCAGACAGATCCATCTTCATCTTCAGTGATGTCTTCTTGGACTGGGAGGTATGCGCGACTGACACTCCCGCAGCTTTTCAAATACTTCAGAATTCCATGGGCCCAAGGATCATCTTCATCTGTTGACTCGTTCTTGATGTCATCAAACCTGTTGATCAATGTTACCAACCGCTGATCAAACTTTTGGTATTTCTTCAATTTTTCAGCAGTTGGCTCTCCATGCCTCAGAAGAATGCGGACAGATTCTGCATATCTTTCCTCCGATTGCAACGCAGTAAGAAGGTGATACAATGACGGGTGATTTTTCCCGATGACAGACTGCAGACGTCGATTCCATCCTTCCACGTCATTGTTTGTTCGGGGAATACCTGCTTTTGTTCTTTCGTACAGGTTCCAAGTTTCTGGTGGGAATCTGGGTTCAACATGCCTTTTCCCTCGCTTTCGTTGGCCGATGACGTAGTTGATCTTGAGATATTCCAACACACCTTTGAACAGGGCATCAGTGTGCTTTTCCAACAACTGGAGTCCCTCTGGTACTTCGGCAACGGGCAGGAAAGGAAGGGCCAGGATAGCGTGCAATTGTGAACGCAAATGCGAATTTTCCTGCATCCGATATGGCCCTATATAACAAATGAGTGCATTTTTATATTCAATGCATTTTAAATAAAGCATTCAAGATGTTCAGTATAGAAAAATATCAGTGAATATTAAAAACATCAATCAACTTTCAAAACATTCAACTTTCGGTTGTTGAAACAACGAAACAAGAAATTCAAAATTAAATATATTTTTGGGGACACAATAATTCAGAGCATTATAATTATGATTTGAATAATGAAGCACAGTTGATACTATAGTTAATATAATGCATATGTGTACAATATGCCATGTTAAAATAAATTACACACTCAGTGATCAGGAAACAATATGCTTACCGGAAACACCAGTAGCTTGGCATTTTTTCCAAACATTTTGGCCGAAGTGGAAGAAACACCCACTGAGTTTTGCATCTGGGAAATGCTTTTGAAAGCTGGTCATGGCCGCAGTCTCAAAATCTACGCTGTAGTATTGTGGACCTTTCCTATGTCTTGCAGGTAGCAGCTCTTTGGTGGCTTCAAAAAGCTTCTCATAAGAAGTCGCGTTCTTGTTTTCCATGAGGACAAGGCATCCCAGTACGATCTGGCCGTGCAGCTCATAATGCAGGCTGTAGATTTGAAGAAATAAATGAGGAGCCGTTTTAAAGGTTCCATCTCCTAGCCAGTTTCTGCTTCGGCTCATTTCCTTCAACGTGCTTTTTCGTCCAAAAATGAGCACCCGATTGTCTTCATCAATGCCGCTGTCATACTGCAGCCACTGTTCACTCTCAATAACCTGGTATTCCTTGAAGAAAACGTGAACATTGCATTAGAAATTTCAATAGGAAGGCAAAACATGCGCCTAATAATTTAATGTGTACCAAAATAAGATCCTGTTTGTACAATGGCGGAATGCAGGGAGATTTACAATAAGCACACATATAAGTATACATTTATAAAACATACTGCATGAATATGAATATGAATGTGAATGTAAATGTAAATGTAAATGTAAATGTAAATGTAAATGTGAATATAAATGTGAATATAAATGTGAATATAAATGTGAATATAAATATAGAATATAAAATATTGAAAATTTAAAGTATACATGCATCTTAATATGTACCAGTGAGATGTGTTCAAGCTCATCAAGGCTTTTCGGCTCTGTGGGATATTTTTTCCTCCTAGAACGCTGGATGGTTCTTTTCATTGACTTCTCTTTTGGCAGGTGTTGCAGGGTTTCTTCATTTGCTTCACCATATGCCTTTTGGGTAAGGAGACAGGGTTCAACTGCTCCTGAAGATTCCGCTGCAATTTTTATGTCGGACTTGACCTTGTTTGCCGCAACTTCCCCAAATTCAGGTAGATGATTGTGTTCCTGCTTCAGAGTCCACTGTTTTTCATCAGCAGAAAGATGTCCTCGTCCCTTACAGGTACGGTCAACGCACATCCATTGTGATGGCTTGTCGCCATCTGCTTGGCGTTGACATGTGTACCGAAACCCCTCATACAGCAAAGCTCTTTTTCCCCTTTTTGTTGTTGTAAAGTCAATTTTTTTCGCCATTTTTGAAGTAATTTAAAAGATTAAAGTAGATTCAAGCCATGCTTGATTTTTATAATGCTCTTGCTCCTGCTAATTTCCTGTCATTTTGTTTTGTCAGTTTCAAACCTTTGTAAGGTTTTTTCAGATAAAGAAATAATTTTTTTTCATTTGATGACCTTGTAATGAATAGTCGCCGTTACGAACTGTCACTGGACCGAAATGTCCCTGTAACCAATAGTCCCGTAACAAAAAGTCGCAGTACTGAATGGTCGCCGTAATGAAAGGTCGCATGTAGCGAAAAGTCGCTCGTAACGAAACGTCGCTGTTACGAATTGTCCGTAACGAAAGGTCGCAATACCTTGAAAACTGTGGGCCCCCCCCCCCCCCCCCCCATCCAATGATTTGTTCAGAGAATAAATTTTCGCAAATTCGTAGTCAAGTGTGAAAGATTTTGAAATGATGCGACGAAGCACATTCTAAACTGAATATTGTTGATGAAGCTCTTTATAAAAATCGATTGTCATCTCATATAGAGGAGCCCAGGCATGTAATTTAATTATGGTTAGGATTACTGCACTTTTGTCTTCCCTGTGGTGTCTAAATATATTTTCGAGAGTTTCAATATTAAAGTTCGTATTCTATCAATTTAAATTTTCCTGGACAAGTGGCCTCCGCGGATCTCTTGGAAGAGGGGTATGCGAACTGATTTATTTAGAGATATTTATCTTGCATAAATAGGATTATATTTTTCAAATCAGCACGCTTCCATCAAAGTAGAGTGATTGTATGTCCGGGGAAATTGCGATGAAGACCTTTTAGCTCCTTCAAAGTCCGGCGGATATGATACGAATGCCAGTATAATTTTTTTCAAAGATAAGACAAGAACCTTGATAACGCAAAATAAAAAAGTCTATTCAAGGATTGAGGTAGCAAAAATGTTGGAGATTTGAATTTTGATGAGGTGACGAATTTGATGAACTAATTTTTTTTGCACGATGGTGGGTTTCTTTGGTGTCCCAGAAAGGGCTACTATATATGGGGGCATTGGGTAGATTACGATACCACGTTGTTCATCAATTTGTTACTGGTGCTGTTTTTTTTCTTTTCTGAGCTCAAGGTGTAATTTTTATTTATCATCTCAGACTGCCAAGACGATGACGTTCATCACAGCGACAGCCGTAAGCCCGGCGACTTTGTCTCGCTTTTGTCTTTTTTTAAATTTTATTTCGTGGTATGCATCCTTTGATGCACAGGTCTTTGAGGTTCAAATTAGTTGCTTAAGGTTTTTTTTTTGGGTGGCTTTTAATGCATGTATTTTTTGTGGGGCGTGACTCCCGAAGCCCGGGTATCGTCGTCGGGGTTGTGAAACGAAGGCTCCCCCACCATTCTTTTTCCCCCCATGATGACCCGACGCCGCAATCTGCGCTCGACCTCAGCGGATTGCGTGTTGCAACAGCATTTAAATTGGCAGCCACTGCTTGACTGCCCATTCGTATTCACTGTCCTTCACAAAAATGTGAACATGACGGGCCACCGTCGCCGTGGAGAGAAAAAAATAATAATAATATCGCTGCCTCTGGACCTCGTGAGAGAGAGAGAGAGAACACCATCAGCAATGAGTACGGCGAAGAAAGATCGTGTCTCCGATTTTTATTTTAGTCAACTTTTTTTTTGTGCTTCTGGTTCACTCAATCATGATGATGATGATGATGATGGTGATGATTGTTGCAAGGAGGAGGATTTTGTTTTCTCGTGAGGCAAAAATGAGATGTGAGGAATTTCATTTATGAAGCTTTTTCTTCGTACTGTATTATTATTTTTTTTTTGCGAAGAGGGTTTTTAATTCGCACATTTTGCGACTTTCTTGTTGTTGTTGTTGCTGGAATTTGTTTTCTGTGGTCAATGGTGTTGAAAATCTCATTTTTATAATGCCAAAGTTCATTACTAAATGCCGTCAACATTATTGCCTTTGTTGGTCTTTTGCTGAACTCGTTTATTTCTGCAATTTGCAGTAAACGTTGCATTCGTTCACCGCCAATTCGCCCCGTTTCATATCGAAACAATTATATTTTATTATTCCAGCTATTTTCAAGAGAGAGAGAATACGAAATGCATGATCTCATTTGATTTCAAGAAACCTGGACGAACACTCCGTGGTTGTTCAGAAGAGAAACACGCGATATATTATATATGCCTTTTGACTTTTAGTAAATAATGTATTACATGAATAAACAAAACAAGACTACAGTGATCCCCATTTTACTTCATCTAAGAACAACTGTGGAAGGTGAAAATATCTTTCGACCAGGTGTTGCACAACCTTGAGGATGTGAAAACAGCCAAAATTCGATTGAATGTTGATTCAATTTGTTTGTGACTAGAAAAGATGTCGAGTGCTGACAAAAAAAATCCCAGTTTTTTGCGAGTCTTCATTATTGTTAAATTCGAGATTCAAGCTATGTAAAAAAAATGCATACTGATAAAAGTTGCATGCTGATAAGCTTGGAATTCTGGCGAATCGGGCTCTCGAATAAGCTTGATCGGGTGGAATGTTGAAGTTTGAGGCTTTGATCGATATTTGTATGATTTGATTGAAAAAAATTTAGAACCTTGACGCCTACATATCACGAAAGTCGGAAGCTGAATAACGCCGAGATCATCGCTTAAAAATCGCGAAGCCTTCAGACGTTCGGCAGCTCCCCCCAATTTTAATCAGCGACGAACGCGTTTTTAATCACTCCCCTCGCAAACAAGAGCTGATTATTTCCGTGATTCCGAGTAAAAACCCTCGTGGGTTCCCCTTCATTGAAAAACAACTTCCCATTCGGCGTGATTGGGTCAGTTGGGCAATTCGTAATTGCCGTGCGATTCTCTCGACGACCAGCAGTTGCATTTTTTCATCTCGATCCAATCCGGGAGAATAAATCACCACGCGAGGCCTCGGTTTGTTTTAGAATACAGCAGGTACGTACACTTATATATTTTTCAATCTTTCGAAACGCGAAATTGAATTACCTACTATCGCTCTTCAGTATATATACGAGTGCTACGTGTTTTTCTCGGATTTATGCGCTTGCGCAATGCGACTGAGATAAAAAAAAAAGAAGCCTTCTTTATATTCGTCGTTGGCGATATTGTATTTTTCAAACAAATTCCTTCGGCACTCGGATCCCTCAGGCGCCGACATTTTGGCAGAAAAAGGTATGCAATGCAGTCTAGTGAAAGTTTTTATTTTTGCGAACGGTGGCCCTGAGGGAAACCCACGCCCGGGCATATCCGGTTGCAACCCAACCCTGTTACGGGTTCGCTTTCCCTCTCACCTCCTTCATGCTCTCCTTTTTTTTTTTCACCGTCTTGTTTTTAGTGTTATCATCATCGACATCATCATCATCATCATCATCATGATCTGTTTCCCGTTTGCTATACACGTAACGCTACGCCCCGGAAAGAATCTCGTGCCGCCCACACATTGCTTATGTGTATCTGATCGCCGGTTAAAAGATGAAAGAAGTCGGGTCTCGGTGTTCCATCTATGCAGATGCGCCTTTTATTCCTATGCCGCAATTCTGCTCGAGGGCGAACAGCAAACAGTCAATCAATCAATGGAGATATGGGGGGCAAAAAGAAAATAAAATGAAAGAATCTTCCGTCTCATGCATCATCGCGAGCGTGTCGATAAGAAAGAACACCGCGTATTCTGGTCTCGGAAAAAAAAAAAAAGGGCGCATCAAACTGTTCGCCTTCGTTTTGCAACACGTCGTCCTACTTTCATCCTTCAACTTTTTCATTCCAAAATACAGAATTATCTGATTGAATAATATTTTTAAAAAACTGCGAAATTCATTTCGATTTTGCTTTGCCGTGTTTCTCGAAAAAAATATGGCCGGGTGAGAAAAAAAATCAGGATAATAAGTCTTTCCGGCACAACTTCCATCATCATGAGATCTAATTTCGGAACACGCTTCAGTCAAAATTATTGAATTGTAACCGATATCCAAAGGGAATTTTATGATGAATAATATGAAAGACCCTCCGAACTGTCAATCTTACGTAGAACTCAAATAAAGGAAAACTCCCGAGTACGTCTGATTTTTGCACTGAAAGAGTACCGGCTTTATTCATGGCATTTATTTTGACCAGAAAGTGTTTTAATGGCTGTGAAATTAACGAAACTTCGAATGCGGAAAACGCTAAAATTTGGCTCAAATAAGAATTTGAAATTTAAAGTATTTTTCTTCGTTATTCCGGAAAATTTTCCCGCGCTGACTTTCCGTGATGAAGAATATGTGAAATATCATGATTTTAAGTTATGAAATTTTCAGCAAAACTGTTGGTTGAAAGTTGTACTGGCGTTTTTTTTTTTTTTTCTTGAGGACGCGGCAATTGATCACATCTTTGGTGGTATGAATTAAAATTCTTGCTGCCCAGGGTGTCGTTGAGAGAATAACAGATGGAAGCATTATTTGAATACGAGACACGCCTGTGCGTATATATATATAGGTACTTGCATTTTCGGGTTTCTGGGGCTCCTATTTTGCTCAACACGGTCAAAGCGGGGTTTTCTTTCATGTGTACATTTTCAAGGCAAACTGAGTTAAAACGAAGCGTGCTTGAATGCATCATTCTTCATCCCACTGAAAAGAAGGATTGCGCAGGAATTCCCACCTACTACCGGCACGAAGGAGAGGCGAAAAAAAAGGGGGGGTTTCTTCATCGTCGAATAAAAGTTCGGCCTCGATGGAGGCGGCAGAGAATGGATTAAAAAAAAAAGGGGAAGGAAAGAAAAAAATAAATGAAGAGCTGGACGCCGCCTTGGGAACATGCAGTCTCATCGTCCATCCCGACGATAGCGAGAAGCTGCCCCCCGGTGGCGTCCGTGGCGTCCCTAGATCTCATCCCACATTCTTGGAGAAACTTCGAGCATCCGATCCCTTTTTCATCCTTTTTTCTTTCCTCAAAAGTCCTTGCAATTTAATATATATATATTTTTTTTACAATTTTACTGACGGGATCAAAAATACGATTATTTACCCCGTATAAGGAAAATATCGCTGTATAGATGAGCTGCATAGCAAAATGTCCTTCGGGACCAAACATTAAATGAAGAGAAATTGTGTATTAAGAACGTGCTATTTTCGTGCAGTTTTTCATGACCCGCATCATTTCGCAAGAATTTGTACTTTATTCCAACATTCTGTTCCGTTGTAATAATAGACGTGTGTTGCAAATGGAATCGGAACGCTTTTGTGGATCTAATTTATGTCATGCAATTACATAATCTTTGATTATTCTTTCCGTGAAGGCATCTTTTGGAATACACTGCTGTCAAAAAGTG